GAAAAAACTGCTCAAAAGGTAATTTCAGGAGGACTCCGCACTGCCTGAACGCTGCCTCTGGCCCTGCTACAGAGGGGACCGCAGCAACCACGGGGAATTGTAAAAAGGCTGGAAAACTCCTCATTTTCTCGTTGGTGCTGGGCAAGTGGCCCCATAGCACTGGCAAGCCCCGGTGCCGGCGGTTCCCGAGCAGAATTCAGCTGCTTTCCTGCAGAAATTAGCACGTGGCCTCTGTTTGGGAGAATAAATGTGTATTTCTAGACGTGACAGAGCTCTTGGGTGATATTGTGTGTCCCGTGGCGCGGGCACTCCTCTCCAAGATTGCATCTTGAGCCTCCCACTCAGCCAAAAGGGAGAAAAAGGCAGAAAATGAGTGAAGGCAGGAGCTCTTCCCGCAGACGTCCTGCGTGCCTTGCACCTACACAGCTCCCTGCTAACAACACTGAAACCTGGTTTTCTGTAGTAAAAAAAAAAAAAACAACAAAAAACCCCCCAAAAAAACCCGACCAAACAAATCGACGCACCCAAACCAACAAAAGACCACCCAACAGAAAAAGCACTTTTGTCGGTCTGAGGACGTGAAGGCTGCGTTACGTTCAAGCAGTAGGTGCTTTCAGATGTTTGTGCAAAAGCCCTTGGAGCAGAAAAAAGTCCCTTCAAGCCACCCTGCCTTTCCTCGTGGCCAAAAAACACCAGATGCCCACGGGGAATCTGAAGCAGCTGCTGGGGGTGGCGGAGGATGGCAGCTTGCAGCCGTCCCCGGGATGAGCAGGGAGGCCTGCTCCCTGCCAGGGGGTCCGGGCTCCAGCCCCCCCAAACGGGCTCTATGGGGGTGCAGCTCTGCCCCCCTCCCGCACCCCTCAGCCACGGCGTCGCTGATGGAAAACACAAAAAGCTGAATGTCTTTTCTGAGCTCCGGAACGGCAGCGGGGGTAAAGCAGGGTGTGCAACAGGTAGGATGAAATATTTAGGATGTAAGGCAGAAATCCTTCCCTGTGCGGGGGGGGAGGCGCTGGCCCAGGGTGCCCAGAGCAGCTGTGGCTGCCCCCTCCCTGGAAGGGTTCAAGGCCAGGTTGGACGGGGCTGGGAGCCCCCTGGGCTGGGGGAAGGGGGCCCTGCCCGGGGCTGGGGGGGGCACTGGGGGGGCTTTCAGCTCCCTCCCCACCCAAACCACTCTGGGATTAACACAACATGCACGTGCTCGCCGGAGAGGGAATCCCCCAACTCTCCAAACCAGCCTCGCACTTGGGAAATGGGGTGTGTGGATTTGAATGAGGTCCCGTGGGGACAGAGGGGACGTACCCCCGCGCCCCTGGGGTGGAGTGGGGATCCCTGCACGGCTCCTCACCGGGGCCAGAACGGCCACGGGATTTGGTAAAGGTACTTATTTACAGACACACACTGGAAAAATGCACTTATTTGCAGACACACACAGGAAAAATGCACTTATTTGCAGACACACACTGGAAAAATGCACTTATTTGCAGACACACACAGGAAAAATGCACTTATTTGCAGACACACACTGGAAAAATGCACTTATTGCAGACACACACAGGAAAAATGCACTTATTTGCAGACACACACAGGAAAAATGCACTTATTTGCAGACACACACTGGAAAAATGCACTTATTTGCAGACACACACTGGAGAAATGCACTTATTTGCAGACACACACAGGAAAAATGCACTTATTTGCAGACACACACTGGAGAAATGCACTTATTTGCAGACACACACTGGAAAAATGCACTTATTGCAGACACACACAGGAAAAATGCACTTATTTGCAGACACACACAGGAAAAATGCACTTATTTGCAGACACACACTGGAAAAATGCACTTATTTGCAGACACACACAGGAAAAATGCACTTATTTGCAGACACACACTGGAAAAATGCACTTATTTGCAGACACACACAGGAAAAATGCACTTATTTGCAGACACACACTGGAAAAATGCACTTATTTGCAGACACACACAGGAAAAATGCACTTATTTGCAGACACACACTGGAAAAATGCACTTATTTGCACACACTGGAAAAATGCACTTATTTGCAGACACACACTGGAAAAATGCACTTATTTGCAGACACACACTGGAAAAATGCACTTATTTGCACACACTGGAAAAATGCACTTATTTGCAGACACACACTGGAAAAATGCCCGGAGGCTACAATGCTCTGCGAGCCTCGCCAGGCTCACGGCAGCATCTTAAGTTGACCATTTGAGGAAAAGAACCCTGACAATGTTGAGCCGTTGCAATAAGTAAGCTGCTAGCAAGAATAGCTTTTTGCAAAGAAATGGCATGGATAGTTGTTGTTAAATAAAACTAGCCCCCCTTGAAACCAGTTTTTGTAGCTTTTTTTATGGGCTTGTACAATAAGTCAAGTCAGAAGGGACCTGACCAGGTCACGGAGCCCGCCCTCCTGCTCACCCTGGATTTATTTCCCTCTAAATTTTTATATCCTGGGTGAGAAGATTTGTGTCTTTAATAATACAAACTTTGCTATCTTCTTTGCTAAATAGGAAAATTAACACACTTTTCAATATTACCATGCCATCTAAGAGACCTGACCTGATTTCCAGCCACCCCGGTTAAGCTTGAGCTGCCGGCAGGGCTGGCAGGCTGCTCCACGGTGCGTGCGGGGGCAAAGCCATGGAACTTTGAACAAATCCGATTAAATCTCGACGCAAACCAGAAGAAACTTGCCAGCAAACTTAGATGCACGCGACGGTCAGAAAATAATTGATATTATCATTGCGCTACCGAGTCCTCTTGTTTGCATTTTGCGGCGGCCAGACTGAGGCTGGGGGGGTCTGCCGGGAGCGGGAGAGCACGGAGAGCAGAAAGGGCACGAGGTGGGCGCGTGGGTTTGGATGAGCTGAAATCCCACCCAGGGATTTTCTGGCCCCCCCCTTGCTGCCTGGCCCCAGCCACATCCCCTAAAGACGCTGCGGGTTCTCAGCTCAGCTCCCGCTCACCGGCAGAGAGAGGTGGAGCGTCCTGTAACCACTTCTGCAGCTCCTCACATGTGCCAGCCCTGGATCTACAGAAAGATCATAAAAATAGCATTTTTCCCCCTAAATGTGAGGCCTCTCCGCAAAATCAGGACCTTAATATTAACATATAATATTAATATAAGTATTAATATAAAGAAGCTACTCCATTCTGGTTTGTAACCAATATCAATCTGATTTGAAACGCGACGTTCCCTGCGCTGGAAGTTAATTCCAATTTTTGTTTGTTTTTCTGTTCCTCCCAGCACTTCTTGGGACTTAAGCCCCGTAAAACTGAAATAACTGTGGCAAGAGAGAAAGGGGCTGGGGAAGCGCTAAGCGATTCCTGCTCACCTCCTGGCACTTGTCACTGCCCCCATCGCAGGTTTGGCCCCGGCGATGACCCGCCCGCAGGCGTTCGCAGCGGCTCCCGGCACGCGCCGCGGCTCCCCTGGGGTAAAAGCACCCGGCGTCGGTGGGAAAACCCCACGGGGGGCAGCGGCCACGGGAAGCACGCCGGCTCTGCCGCCCACGCTGGGGCAGCTCCCCGGTGGAAACGTCCCATTGCGACCCCCCCCCCCACGCTCACTCGGCAGCGGGCGGAAGACAACGCGCTCTCCAGCTCCGTTTAGGCAATGAGAGGATGATGGCTAAAGGAAAAACGCCAGTATTAATAAAAATATTAACTCCGTATTTAACTTCGGTATTAACGGAAGGTGGATTAGAGCAGCGACCTGCCCGCTCCCAAGCAGGGCTCCAGCCTTGTGCCAGACACCACCCTGCAGGCTACGAGGGTGGGTTTTGCCTGTGACGATAGCAGCAGAGGTGAACGGAATTCTTCTTCTTCAACCCCTACGAGCAGGTCAAATATGTTGGAAGTAGCAGGACCGGACCTGCTACTTCTGCATTCCTTAACCAACGAACCGCCCAACGTTATCAGCTTTCGTGGGCCAAACCAGGCAAATCCATACGGGACAGCTTCCTCCTCAGAACCTGAACTTCCCTTTCCCTGCTCTGCCCTTTCTCAGGTGGTTTCCATCCTTGGGAGAGTGTCGTGGTTTGAGCCTGGTCGGCAGCCAACCACCACGCAGCCACTCTCTCTACCTTCTCTTCTGGCAATAAGGGACAGAGAGCCAGGCTTGGGGTTCGAGATAGGACTGGGATGGGGAAAAAATCCCCCTTTATGATCACGAGCAAAAGGCAGACTCGTTAGGGGAAGAAAAAAAAGAACATACATTTATTACAGACACTAACAACACGTAACAGAGTAGGACAGTGAGAAGCATTGCCACATCTTGAGAACACCTTCCCCCCACCCCTCCCTTCTTCCCGGGCTCAGCTCTGCTCCCGATATCTCTACCTCCTCCCCCAGTGGTGCAGGAGCAGGGAATGGGGGGTGCAGGCAGTGCTGCTGCTTCCTTCATCTTCGGTGGGGGGAGCTTCTGGAACTTCTTCCCCCTGCTCCATCGTGGTCCCCCTCTCACAGGAGACAGTCCTCCACAAACTTTCTCCAACATGAATTCCTCCCATGGGCCGCAGCATTCCCCACACTGCTCCGTCATGGGTCACCAACTTTCTCTGACTGGATTCCCTCCCACGGCTGCAGCCCTTCCCAAGCTGCTCTGGTGTGGGACTCCCCCGCATGCTGCAATCCTCCCAGCACTGAATTACAGCAGCGGGGCTGCCTTTCCCATGAGACCCCGGCCTTCTTCGGGCACAGCACCTTGATCATCCAGGCAGAAGCCACAGGCCATAAATCAATGTCTGCTCCACCATAGATCTTCCCCCCTCCTTTCTTCCTCTGTTCCCCCACTGACCTTGGTGTTCACGCAGCTGCAGCAACTCCTCCTCACAAGTCCCCCTGCCCGTCACCACGTCCCTTCTTAAATACGTTATCGCAGAGGCGCAGCCGATTGGCTCAATTTCCCAAACATAAGTGGAGCTGACTTGGAGCTGGGGGAGCTTCGAGAAGCTTCTCACAGGGGGCCGCCCCGATAGCCCCCTCCCCTGCCACCAAAAAACTCCACCACTCACTCAACCCAGGACATTGAGCCAGTGTAAGCTCCCTTTTAACGATCTAGCTTTATGCCATCAACTGGATGCCAGCGAGCTCCGTCACTTGGCCTGGAGGAGCCCCTGGCAGGCGCGGTGCTGGCAGGGAGCCCTCCGCGTCCCCCCGGTGCGGGCACCCCTTGCTATTTCTCAGCAGCTCACCCCTCTCCCCAGCAGAATAAAGCCCAGCTGCCGACAAGCACCTCGCAGCGGTGAGTTTGCCCTCCAAGAAAAGGCTCTCTTTTCCTCTGCTGGTTTCTTTGCAATTAAAAAAACGGTTAAAATTTTTTTTTTTTTTTTTTTTTTTTTTTTTCGCTTTTAAATCAGCTCTGTTCCGGTTACCGGTGACACCCCCTCCCAGACCTTCCCGCAGTGCTGCTCTCCCTCCGCGGCCCCGCTCCGCCCAAGGTCCAGGGTCGAGCAGGGGAATCCCACGAGCACCCCCAAACCGACGGGTGCCGCCGAGGCTGGCGGGCGCTCCCCCAATTTATCAGCTGCCCTAAGACGGTCCCAGGCTGGAAGGCCACAAAGAGGCACGTTACGCGGGAATAACGATCTGTACCACGGAGGGATCGTAGCAGAGAAGACAGATACAAACACGCAAGCGCCCAGGGAGAAGCGGGGGGATGAGGGGTGGCTGGAGGGGACACCCCATCTCCTGCCTAAACTCCAAACTCCTCTGCCAAAATCTCCCGCCCGCCTTACGCAGCGCCGGACAGAGACACACGTTGATTAAAATGCAAGTCACACGTCGAAGGATGTCAGGACGTGGCCCTTAACAGGTTAACTGAAAAATAATGAGCGTCATTCTCCCGTAGGTGCCGCAAACAGAACGACCTGGAAAGAAATAGAGAAGCTTTTTGAGAACTGAAATAAAATGTAATCCTCGAATTGGGTTTATAGGGATCTAAAATGTTTGTATCGAATAACAGAAACGGAAGCTTTGTAGCTGCCAACCCGACGGAAATTTAATCAGCTCACCAATCTAAACTTCTTGTATCTGCTTGGCTTCGTAGTCAACTGTGTTACCCGGGAGGTTTCCCTGCCCGCCCACCCCACGATGCAGGACACACTGCCAGTAAGAGCCCTGAAAAATTCCCGGGGCTGCTGCTGGGTAAATGTATGTCTGGCACGTATGGACGGATGTATTTTAACCCCTCGGTTCCGGGAGGAGCGACCAGACCCGGGTGCTTGGGGCTTGGGAGCTCGGGGGTCGGGGATGGGCAGAGGTTCGACTTAAACTCACCCGGGCAATAGTTACCTCTGGAGCTGCTTAGCCTATTTCCATTTATTATCTGCAATTAGGTAATTTCCGCACATTTCAGCGTTTTCAGGCTTTAGCTGGTGCGGAGCACAGCGCGGGGCTCGTGCCCGGCGGGTCCAGAGGGGACGGTGGGTCTGAGAAGCAGGGCGAGCGGATGACAAATAGAATGATCAAGCCGATTATTTGTGACCTGCATTTACAGGAACAGTCCCCGAGCTCGTGGCGCCCGGTCCCACTGGTCTGCAAGCTGCCTGCAGGTGGATTTCAGGGCAGATCCTACCGTCTGGATGCCGCAAAAATACTTCCCAGCTGAGGTTTGAAATGCCAGTTCGAGCGGGTGGAAGCGGTGCCAGGGGATTTGTCCTTAACCCCCGGTGACACCCTGCGGGGCTTCATCCTTGGGGGGGTCTGGCTCCATAAAACCCCTAAACAGACCTCAAAAGAAGAGATAAAAACACGTAATTTTTAAGGGAAATGAAATGTATGTTGTTCCCCTCACTGTAATTTTAGTTCTATAATCAGTCCTAATTATTAACATTTCTAAGAAATGCGAAAAAAAAAACCCCAAACCTCTACGTCTGCATTCATTACTCACAAATAGATTATTTTATGATTCATTTAAATGATTCACATACTATAATTAACACGAGCTCTACAGTTAATTGCATCTTTGCAAAATAGTTTAATAATCGGAGTAGAAACTTGACAGTCATTTTTTTTTTTTAATCGCACATATGCGATGACTGTTTTGTATAAACTGCAGCTCATCAGAAATAAATACACAAATGCACGCTTCTCCGAAGACAACCTGAACCTTGATAAAAAGGATTTGATTTTTTTTCCTCTGTAGTTGCGTGAGCAAGGATGCTACTCTGGACAGGCCTAATCTTGTTAAATGAGACATGAGCTGGTGGTAAGTACGCTGTAGCAGTGTAGAAGGATGAATTATAGAACTCACGTAAAATTGTTATTATAAAAAAATCTTTAGCTTTTTTAATGTTACAGCTTCTTTTTCAGTTACTTTAAGGTAATGCAGATGAAGGCTGCGTAATCTTCTATCGCTTAAAACACTCTTACCGTTTCGCTTAGCTTTTTGTAAGGCTAGTAACAAAAAAGCTTGATTTTGTCCAGCAACTGAAATTAACAGTAAAATCTGAAATAATTCAACATTGGCAAACTATTATTCGTGCTAAAATTTCTCAGGAATCACTTCCGCTAGAGTGATGACATGAACTGATCTCTCCCTCCCAGCCTCCTGAGGATTAATTTTCATTTATGTTTAGAAACCCTTTGTTTTTGAAAATATTCTCCTTCCTCCCTTTTTACCAGAACTTACCCATCCGCTTCAGGATTCAAGATGCGGCTGAAAAACAGAAAATCCCCCCGACCACCAAAACAAGCCTAAGGCTCCGCTGCTGGCATCACAGATTATCTATACCACATACCCAGATTCTTTTGTTTCTTTACAGGAGGATTGTTACCCAAGGGATGAGCAGCGTCACAAACCAGGCGGCTGTCCAACCTGGCCCTTCTCTGCCCACTGATTTATTATTTTTATTATTTTTCCCATTTTTCCCCCCAAACCACTGACGGTTAATGCGGCATTTGGGCAAAACCCAGGGGTTCAAGCGCGGACTCTGACGTGCTTCCTCGGACGGATGCACGGCCCAGCTCGGTTTTCTTGCACGATGACGTTTCCGAGGGGATGGCTGGAAAATTGAGCCTTAAAATGCCAACTGAGGGACAAACACACCCGCGTCGACCCGCCGAGCAGCACTCGCCTGCGGCCGCTTCTCCGCCACTCACATCCCAGCAGGAAAAGCTCCTCTGCCCGTTTCTGAGGCTGTACCTGTAAATAAAGGATCTAAAAATATAGGGGTTGGAGTGGGAAATCTGTTCGGTGTTTTTTTTTTTTTTTTTTTTTTTAACCACATAAAAAAATAAGTACAGGCAGAAAAAGGCAAACGCACCAGAAGAAAACTAAACCGGTATATTTTAATACTACAAAAATGTATAAATATTTAAATGTACAGCAGAGAGTACCAGTATACCATGTAATAACTGTTACAACATTTAAAACGTGTGATTCTTTATCCACAATCTACTTTTATAATTTTAACTTAAACCTGTGTTCCCAGCACTTATTCAGGAGCTTTTGTAAGCGCGTCCCCCAAACCACCGCACCTCTTTTTTTTTTTTTTTTTTTTTTTCTTTTTTTTTTTTTTCCTGCTTCAGAAAACACTGAGAATTCCAACTTTTTTCAACTAAATTTTGTACCATCTCAGAGGGCTGTGACCTTTCCGCAAGGCGACGCTTACCGAGCTGCCCTGAAGCTGTGCTCGCAGAGCAAAAATAAAAATAAAATGGGGGTAGCCACGTATCAGAGCAGTGGTTCTGGCTGGATGTTGCTACACGTTGGAGAATTAAGCGCGGACGCGGAAAGCCACAGAAGCACTAAAACACACTGCTGGTGTTCATTCAACACCGCGGGTCACACAGCAGTTCGTGGTTAGTCGCAGGTTATGCGTGGTGTAGTCTCACCAGCTGTGTTAGCCGGGAAGGACTGCAGCTCCCCGGAAAAAAAAAAAAAAAATAATAAAAAAAAAAAAAATGCCAAGGGTCCCGGGGGGGCTGCGGCATCCACCGGCACGGCCCAACTCCTTCCCACCGCCCCAAAACGTTCCAATATTTAACAGCTCTGGCCCGGCGATCGCCTCGCGCCAGGCTCTGCCCAGCACCCCCACGAGATGCAGCCCCCCGGGCGCGGGGGCAGACGAGATCTCCAACTTCAACTAAAAACCCCCCCCCCCCCGGAACTCGGGGAGTTTTGCAGTTTTTCTTCAAAGCCGCTCTTCGCATGAAGAGTGCCACCAATAAATAAACCCTGGAGGCGACGGGGAAATGCGCGTCGGCAGAGAAAACCCCCCTCGGCCGATTGAGCCGAACGACCTGTTTCAGTTCTGGGGGTGTGCCCGGGCCCCCCCACATCCGTGGGTCGCCAGAAGGCGCCGGGAGATAAAAAGGAACATGGCTTTTTTGCGACGATTACGCTTCGACCTATTCTTCCAAACATTCGGTCGGCCGACGCCGTTACAGCTCGCTCTGATGTCATCAAAGCAAGCCCTCAAAAAATAGGGGAGCCAGCACCACCTGCCCAGTGAAACCAGTAAATATTCAGCGTTTGCAGAGTTCTTGGTAAACACATTGCGCAGAGAGAAGTCGACCCTCCCCAAAGCCTTTCTGAGATAATTCATAAATGGGGAAACAAAGACCAGCCGCTGCTTCTCGGCCGTGGCCTGTTTGAGGGCTCCGAACTTCAGACACTCCCTAACAGCGGCAACCAAAGGAGCCACTTTAAATGATTTTAGCCCAAATCGCTTGCCAAGGCGACACCGGAGTTCAGTGGCAGGAGGACGGGCTGGGGCCCAAGCGCAGTAACTTACTTTAATTCATTAAACCCCATCAGTTACCCCGCTCTGATGCCGTATCAGCATTTAAGACACCCCCACCGCCACCACCTCACTCTCCCTTAATGAGGCTTTGGGTGAAATTCCTCCGCAATGAGACTCAGGGGGTTTCCATACCCTCACCCAGGAGATAAATCCAGGCTCCAGCCCCTCGAAGCCCGTGGGAATGCTGGTCATGACTGAAGTCAAACACGTACTCCCGTGCCTTTTTTTAAGGTCTGAACATGATTTCTAGACGGCGGGCCATCCCGCTAGCGTGCAGCAGACCCGCAATACTTCTGCTCTGGCCGCGAGGGATGCGCCTCCTTGCTCCTAAAGAAGTACAATCCGACACGGAGGCGTTTCACTGCTTTTTTTTCCCCCAAAGCAGGGACGCAGCAGTGCAGGCAACCCAACGCTGCAAGCTCGCTGCCTCAGTCAAGGGCTTGCACACTTCGTACGAACCTTTAGAGTAATTCTAAGGGGAAAAACATTCTTTTCTTCGCCGGGGGTTGCGCCCCGAGCCTAGGCGAGCCGCGCAGGGGTTGCACCCTCCAGCCACGACACCAAGAACCCCCCTTGGGCTCTGCCCCGGGCGGTGTAGGGCCGCGGCAGCCTTCGCCCTCGGCAGCCCCGGGGTGTTTCACAAGCAGCACCCGGGAGAGGCGGCACCACCAACCGCCCTCCCCGAGCGCTCCCGGGCGCTGTGGGACCCGCCGTGACATTTCCTTCCGCAATGACACGCAAAAACCCAGCACCCGGGTACCCGACCTACCGGCACGAGTGGCTGGTGATGTGGCCAAAGCCCTTGGAGAGGAGGCGAGGAAAGGATTTTTTTTTTTTCTCTGCATGGAGATTGGAGTTTCAATTTGTTTGCGAGGCTCCTTCTGTGAAGCAGAATTACAGCCTTCTCCTCTTTTGCTAGCTTTTAAGCTACAGCGTGTACTTTTGGGGTGATTTAAAGATAACTGGAAGACTTTGACCCTACTTTGAGCAGGGAGGCTGGGCTAGACAAGCTTCCAGTCCGTGTTAATCCGCGATACTCTAGCTCCCATGCATGCACAGTAATCACTTTTCCAATTTAATATCCTGTTTTTCATTTAATGATGTGTGTCAAGAAAATATGATCTATAAATTTATAATACGTACATATATGACACTATTAATCCATAACAATCAGAGCATTATACAGAAAATACCGCAATTTTTCATGACCCAGTGCATAAACAGACCTTTTGAGGAACGGTGAGTGAAATAAGGGGAAAACATTTCACCACTTACCCGTGCTGAAATTACGCTGCGGCTGCTGCCCCGCGATTCGGGTCTCTTGAATGTTCTGGACAAGGGGAAGTTACAGACTATTGCCGACAACCCAGCCCAGCCCGTCGCGCAAAGGGGTGCGTTCCGGGGAGCGCGTGCTGCTGGGGTCACTGGAGGAAACGTCACCCGGATGTATGGGAAATGTCACCCGTACATATGGGAATCGTCATCCGTACGTATGGGAAACGTCACCCGGACGTATGGGAAACGTCACCCAAATGTATGGGAATCGTCACCCGTACGTATGGGAAACGTCACCCGGACGTACGGGAAACGTCACCCATACATATGGGAAATGTCACCCATACGTATGGGAAATGTCACCCGTACATATGGGAAATGTCACCCGGACGTATGGGAAATGTCACCCGTACATATGGGAAACATCACCCGGATGTATGGGAAACATCACCCGGACGTATGGGAAACGTCACCCATACATATGGGAAATGTCACCCATACGTATGGGAAACGTCACTCAGACGTATGGGAAACGACACCCGGACGTATGGGGAATGTCACCTGGACGTATGGGGAATGTCACCCAGACATATGGGAAATGTCACCCGGACGTATGGGAAACGTCACCCGTACGTATGGGAGATGTCACCCGGATGTATGGGGAATGTCACCCATACGTATGGGGAATGTCACCCTTACATATGGGAGATGTCACCCGGACGTATGGGAAACATCACCCGGACGTATGGGGAATGTCATCACCCGCACATACAGGACCCCTCCCCACACCCCGCCACCGCACCAGCTCCCGCGGCGCCGCCGGCACGTTTTCCGTAACCACGCTAACGGAACGATGAAGCCACAAAATTGTTAAAAATATAAAGCATCATCTGTCATCGCTACTGCAGCAAGGGTGCCCGGAGCCAGGACTCGGAGCCGATCCAGCTCCACCCTCGGTGCGCAGGGGATCCACGGATGAAGCTCCCGTGTCTTACGTGGGGTGGAGGTTGACAGTAACGCTTCAGGGTAGCAGCCAGGGATCGAGTGTGGACCCAGTCGCAGTCCCCAGTGGTCCCAGTTTTTGGTACCCCTGCTGCAGCTCCCCGGGTGTCAGCCCAGCCACTGCTCTTCGCCGCAGAGGACACTGCAACCGCGCTGGTCTGAGTTACCCACGTGTGTCACTCCCCCTTCTCAACAATCCCGCATCTTTTGCCGTTGCCTCTTTGGATTTCAAGCCCATTCCCAAGCGCAGTCCTTGCTCAGTTTTGCTGCTGCTTTTCCCAACACACCGGATCCATTTATGTATGTTTTTTTTTTTTTTTTTTTTCAATCTCCTGGCACAAACCACAGAGCTTGCGCTCCGTCGGGCGACGTGGCTGCTCAGGGCGGCTCGACGCCAGAGAAATCCCCAAATCCCCACCGCGCTGCCCAGGGAGGCCAGCACCAACCCACCCAGCGCAGGAGACGCCTGCCAGGACGGCTCCCAGTGCCAGTTCGTGTCATAAGGCATTTTATACCGGGTGGCTTTTCCACAGCGGCGCGTGACGCGCCGAAAACGCCCCCCATCCCGACCTCTGCGACGTAGGGTTCTTAGAGGTTTCTCCGGGACCATTTTTGAGCACGTTTGTGTTGACAACGGCGCACGTTTTGACGTTTATGGGCTCAGACGAGCTTCTTTTGAACGGCCGCACGTTTCGAAGGGGCACGTGGAGAGCTGCTGCATCAAGGAAAACCCTCACCCACCCACCCCCCCGCCCCGTGACTTTGCTCTGACAGCTGGGATTTGGAAGGGGCACCAGCACCGCCGGCCTCAGCGAGGAGGGGGGAGGAAGAGGAGGAGGAGGAGGAGAAGGACGTCCCGGCCGAGGCAGCAGGTCGGCGCCGACTTCAAGCACCCAGGGTCATGTTGCGCAGCAGCCACTGCTGGGAACGGCTCTCGCCGCACTCCCTCATGGTGGGAACCATCTTGTCCTCCTCCGACGGCTCATCCAGACACTGGTTGCTGTTGACGTGCCTCAGGGTGAGCCTCTGCAACAGAGAAGGGTAAGAGCTGCAGCGAGGTAAGCAGTGCTGAAACCCAGGAATTGCATTTTCGGTCTTACCGTAGTCACCACCCAGGCTCTACCAGAACTCTACCCAGCTCACCTTCTCCGCCGCGGCCAAGCAACCCGGGGAGCGAGCGCCTCTGCCGAGCCCAGCCACAAACAAAGGCAGCGGGAAGGTACAAAACAAGTGCAAGGAAATGTTATCTCGAAGCAACGGTATTTTGGATTAAGGAGCTTCGTCTCCGGCAACCCGAACACGTGTGCGTTTCACAGGCCAGGGCACTGCTAGGTCAGAAATAATTGTTAACGGAAAAAAACAGTTGCCAAGTCTTATATGAACAACAGCAACACGCAGATGAAAACTCCTCCGTTTCCAATACTATTTTTCTTCTTTGGGACGCCCGTCCCTTTCTATTCCTACCACATGACACCGTATTTCTGAGGAACGGGCGAGTCAGAAGGGAAATAGGACTTATTTGGAAGAAAGAAATCATCTTCTGCTCAAAAGCCTTGGGAGAACATGTTCGTGAAGAGATCCGGGGAAGTTAAAGCTGTGTGCTTAGATAAAACGAGACAGGTACATTTGCAGCTGAGCAGCCCGTGTTCTCCCCAGCGCTCCTCCGGGGTTGATCTGGGGGTTTTACACACAAAATCACCGCAATTAAGCACACCCCTTAAGCGCCTTTGCTAAGAAGCATTGCATTTACCAATTTAGGGTTTCCTAAAAGGTCTTTTGGTTCCTTCAACAAAAAAAAAAAAAAAAAAAAAAGACCCCATTAAGACCGTGCGATGTGCAAATGCGCGCGGGCGCCTGCCCGCACGTTACGTCAGCAGCCGGGACGGAGCAACGCTGGCCGTGCCCTGCGCCCCAGCTCGAGATCACCTTAATCCTCCCCGAAGTAAATATCCGTGTTTGCTACCGCGCCCGATTTGGGGAGTCAGGATTCCGGGCTTGGTTTGGTTCGGTTTGTCCCCCGGGTGTTTTACAGATCCTCTCCCTCCAGGGCCACAAGGCCGTGCCGCGGAGCAAACCCAAGCCCGGGCGCCCGTCCCCTGCCGCAAGCCCCTTCTTCCATTGCTTTTAAAAACAGTCAAGCGACCTACGGGGGCAGGTCAACGCTCCGGGTGAAGCGGTCAAACAAAGCCTGAGCTGTCGTTCGGCAGCTCCACGCGGCTGATAACCCAGCCCCACCAAGAGCAACCAAGGGAATACGGGATTTCAGGGCTGCGACCCGGTTGGCGGATCCTCCGCTGGAGCAGAGGCCGGCTTCGACCGTCAAACACCGCGCAGAGGAACGGAGAGGGGAGCGAGAACGGGCAGCAAAAATTCTGCAGCCTCCTGGAGGAGGGAGAAGGGGGGGGGGGGGAGGCAGCCCCCGCGACCGCGGAGCCCGACCCGAAGCCTCGGGGCTGCGGGACGGCGGCGATTTCCTTCGAGACAGCGACTTCCAGAGCGGTGGAGGCTGCTCGCTCCACCACACGCACGGAAAAGGGGTCATTTTAGCAGCTAGCGTCTCTGATGCAGTCTCACTGCTAATAAAACACCATTTGTGTATCTTCATATTACAAAAAAAAAAAAAAAAAGACGCCTATTGTCTGGTGTTTCAATTAAACTGCTGGGAAATGCTAACACTGCCAACAGCCGGTGCGGGTTTGTTACCCAAACCCGTAGCTGCTCCAGCGCACTGCGGAATTCTCCACTGCAGTTCACACCCGACCGCCGTGTCACATATTAACGCCCCTAATTTCTATTATGAGTATTCTTTCAATAGCTTGTCCCTCGAGATTCGCTCCTCGGTTTAAAACAAACTGTCACGCAATTCTCAGAGAAGCAGCCCGCGGATTTTATAACAAACCACCGAGGGGCCATTTGATATGCATTCGGTGATGAATATAAGGCATTTTCCCCCCTAATTACAAGAGGAAAGAATTAGTAGTGCTAACTGAAGTAGCTTGTTTACTAAATAGCACTGCTCAAAGCGTCACTGATTCTTCACTTATATTGTTTTAAGTGCAATTAAGCCACTATCATTTTCTACTATAACCAGAAATGCAAACAAGTCTAAAAACGCTGCTGTTGCCTTCATCAGCTGTTCCCTTTTATTCAGCGCACAATTTCATGCTAGATTACCATATCATTGGGATTTTCAACTGTCTCATAAATTTCTTCTTTCTGCGTTCTATCATTATTTATGCTATTCCAAAAAAAAAAAAAAAAAAAAAAGGTCTCGTTTGCTTGGAAAACAATTAATTACTAGGCAATGCGACGCTCACACGAGCCAGCCTCGAATCTGTATTTTGCTCCAACGTGAGAACGCGCAGACATGCGCACGCACGGGAGCGAGCTCGGCAGTTTCCCGCTTACCAAACGGATGCAAATACCGACTCTGACGAGTGAGGACCCTGAGCACTTTATGGCACCGCGAGGGAGCGCAGACCCTCTCCTCGGGCAGGAGGGGAACGTCGTTTGGGGAGCAGGTAAGAAATGAGAGCAGCCCCGGCTTGTTCCCCTGCCCGCCCTGCCCGTTACATCACCCAGCAAAACCCTCCAGGAAAAAAAAAAACCAGTCTTTGGCACAATACTGTGATTCCTTACGCGATTAATATTTCAGCAGTTTCCGTCAATGCTTTGGAATTATCCGTGACTACCATCTCTAGGACTGGACCACTTACAATTGGGACTTTTCAAAAGGAACCTACGTCTCCAAAAAATATTACGCGATTGGCATCATTTATGCGTCTTGGATGAGGGACCAAATCTTCAGCTACTGCAAACAGCAACGGTCACGCTGACATCAATATCACAGAAGTAGCTCAAGACAGTTAAATGAATCTAAAATTAGTTACAATGAATAATAACTAACACTAAACATACACAACATGCTGTAAACATACAATCATCTGAGAAAACAGGAAAGGAATTCAGGTGAGTTGGACAGGAAGAGAGCGGAGAAGCATTTTTCTGGGAAAAGCTTAAATCATTACACACTATAATTGCTTTTTGATACCAACCTCCGACCGTTCGTTAAAGGAAATAGTCAGTGGGGCTGTAAAAAATGTTTCTAAAGACTTCCAGCCTCGTGTAGTTCCTTAGCATCCACGTTTGCAAGGGGCTGCCATTGCAAGCCTCCACCGTGGGACCGTGGGTGCCATCCTCTATCCTGCCTAGCGTCAGGCACGACTGGGTGATTATATGAAGAAATGTACGGGTCTGCACGACAGAGAAATGGTAAAAGTGAACAAAACCAGCAGGGACAGAGAGAAACAAAGGAAAAAGCAACAGGCACTTTGCTTCGGCGTCCATGGCAGTGAACCAGAGGAAGGGAGGAGCGCTCCAGTGGGTAACCGTGCCTGCAAACACCCCGGTGTGGGACTGCAGGCAAACTGTGCTAGCTTGCACACACAGAACACGCCCACAAACAGAGGCCTCTTCGTGATCCGGGCTTTAGTTTCACCAAAAACCCCTTCTCCCTGCGCTGCTCTGAGGGACCCACTCCCTCCCCGTTTCGCAGTTCAGCCCCGGGCGTGCCCCTGAACCCTCCTCCCCATCGCATACACGCTGCCTTGCTGCCATCAGCATTCCCCACGGCCCAGCGAGGTTTGGGCAGAGATGATGTTCCCACCGCACCGATACCCTGCACTAAACATCCCGAAGCTTTCTCGGGCTTTACTGAATCAAAAATATAACGAATTATAAACATTTACATGGAAGGAGACAGGAACTTTTTGGCCAATTACAATCTCAGCTCTTCCTTTACCGTGCCGGCACCGAGCTGGAGGGGAGCTTTTATTTCCCTCTGTTGTGGCAGGCTGGGGATGCTCCTCCTGCATCCCCGTGTTTGGTTTGGGAAGGGAAAAAGTAACGTACGTATAAAGAGGTCACTAAAAATATCAAGAATAAATGTCCTTGTAATGTCACTTCGAGTAACCGGCGTGAACATTAACGCTTGTTTTGATTTCACTGCGTGTTATCGCTTTGTGTTCGCTTCTACTATTCTTTTAAGGGAAAGCAGAGGTACGTAAATAAATTACTTTCAAATGTAATGATCTCTCTGTATTGCGTGCTTATATTAAATGCCTAAATCTGGTAGATTCTTCGCAGGGGTATAAAGAGCACTAAGCATTACCTCGGTGTTATCTGACCCGACCCTTTCCTCCGGTACACGCAAGTTTAACTTGCGCCCATCAGCAAGGCTGCGCTGACTGTAGAAAATCTATAGCAACGGAAGCAAGAGATCACTTGTCCCCTTCACTCATTTTATTAAACAGCCCGACACCGCGCAGCGAGCGCCGGAGTGAATCCGGTTTGGCAGGTTGGAGCGGGATCTGTGGGAAGGCACTAAGTCAGGGCACTGCTAGAGGAGCGAGCGGGAGGCGCGCTATTCTAGGGTTTGCTAGCGGGGTGGCGGTCGCTACTGAACTTACCTCAAAGCTATATTCCCATTTACCAGCATACTGATGGAAGGGGTGTGGGGGGGAAGGAAAAAAAAAAGGAAACTGGAATCAAACAGTGACTCGAGAAACATTTTTGTGAAGACGCTCACCTCGCCGTGAATGCAAAGTCAACTGCTTTGCACACACAGTTAGGAACAAACCACAATAATTGAGCAAGATCAAATCCTGACTCATTATTCCCGCGTGAGGAAATGCAACAGTTTTCTATCAGATGTGACATATTTACAGCATTTTTTTTTATTTGTTGTTTTTTTTTTTTTTTTCCCCTGAGTTCACTCACGTATGTTACATGTCATGAGAACACGACCGGGCCCAAACGCCGGCGGGGTGTGACTCCCACACGAGTGTCCCCGCCCAGCCTGGTGCCCCAATACAGGGGGAAACCAAGCAAATGGCTGTTTAGCAAAATTGGAAATCCAGGTTTCACCAAGCAAGCCAGATCCTGCGCTGAGGGAGCAACTCCTGGCCCCAGCACATCGTAACTCCCAGGTCTTTTTCTGCTGATCCGCCGCCTCGTTTCCCACCCCCATTCCAAGGCAAATAGCATTTATGCATTATAAATATGTTATAAAACACACGCTGATAGGAAGCCTTGGAAAGCTGGGAAATTCTAACGTGGCACCCATCGATTCACAGAGCTGCCCTTGCAAGGTAATGGGCAGCTTGAGAAAGGGCCAGGAATCCTAATGGGCTGTTCAAGAAGTGGGAAAGAAAAGCATTAAAATTCAATAATGGAAGGCAATGGATTTAAAGGGGGGGGGGGAAAAAAAAAAAAGAAATTCCTGCCAAGATGTAAAAACATTTAGGAAAAAAAAAAAATGTTTCAGAACGCTGTAAACGCCGATTGCCTGAGGTGTTAAAAGCCTTTTTGCATCCGACCTGGAGCTCGCTGCTCGGCCGCCGGTGCCCCTCCTGCCAAGGGCTCGGGAGGGGGATCTGCAGCCTCCAGCTCGCGGCTGCGGTTGCTCCTGGTGACAGCAGGTTTTTTATTTAGTGCTCCCTCAAATCCAGACCATACCATCAACATTTTGTGCGTATAAGGGCTTCTTTTTGGACTCTATAAATATTAATATTGGGCTTTTTTTTTTTTTTTTCTTCTCCGGGTAATATCTAAATAATTTATCCTCTCGGGCTAAGATGCAGCTGAGTGAAAACTGCCTCGTAGGAAACAGCAATGGAATAAAAGGTTTAGGCAACCCTGCGTGACCCGTGGGGCCAGAGCAGGCAGCCCCAGAGCCAGCACCCGGCATGCTTTAGTCAGAGTGAAAACCAGAATGGTGGAAAAAAAATCTATCTGAACAACAACCAACAACACCAAAAATCACTTCTCGACTGCAAATGATTTTGTTCAAACTTGGGCTTCCATTTTACGCGGATGCCAAAAGAGCATGCTTCATCTGATTCGGTTCACTTGGGGCTTTGCCAAAAAAAAAAAAAAAAAAAAAAATTAAAATTTGAACTTGCTTTTTAGGCTTGATGTAAAATATTCCCTGTAAATTAAATAAAAAAAAAGCGAGCAACGGGTCATTCACACCACCTCGGTGGTGGTGGAATCTCACCGGGGTTCCGGCCAGGTTGCTCCCAGCAGGAAAGCAGCCCTGAGGAGCGTTTCTGTGTTCCTATTCTACTCTCCCATCCCTGAGCAGAAAGTTCACAAAACTCATTTTTAAGGGTTTTTCTGGAGAAAGATGCAACAAGAGTTTAGCTCCCTGACCATTCATCTAGTTACGGGACATGACTAATCCCTGCAAACACCAACGTCAGCGTTTGCTCTCTTCAAGGTGAGAGCAATCATTTGGGAACGATGACATTCCCTTCCATAATATGTGAGTCATCTACCTTTTTTAATTTTTAAAACTCTCTCCTTTCCTCAATTATGTTTTTCAGTGACACGACCTGTGGCTAACACCTAGTATCTCCTTAGTCACTGTTGCTTTTGCTCAATAAAAATGCATTTAAAGTCAGATTGGTTGTGGGTTTGTGTTTTTTTTTTTTTTGTTTGTTTGTTTGGCTGTTTTTTTGTTTTGTTTTTCTTGAAAAGTGTACAAACCCTGACAAGATCTGCGTTATTTATTCGACCCACAAAGACACCACTGTCATTTTAACTCTACCGGGCGTAACGCAAAACACTCCGTTCCCAGGCAGGAACTTTGCTGACAGGCAGCGACCGACTCACTGAGCTCAGGCACAAACTGATTTACCTCAGTTATCAGCTGGGACATCGCAATTTTAAGCGGCACAACTCGCACGGGCAGCCTTTTTTTAAGATATCAGCCACTTTAAGATACTGCAGCCCCCCCCCCGGCTCGTGTGGCTGACTCCCCGCCAAGAGCCGATCCTCTCAACAAGAATTACCCAAACCCGGATTCCTGACAGAAAAGCCCAAATCACATTTCCAGTCGCCCGGGAGCCGTGCTCGGTGCTGAAGGTGGGGTCACTATTTCTCTCAGCTCTGCCCAAGTAGCTCAATTTTGACCCAAAATCCCAACGGCTGCTTCTCAGCAAGTGATTTTCTGCCCTGACAAACCAACCGACACCTTTGGGTCGCTATTGCCTCCGGCGTTTCAAGTTAACTTGCATCCCAAGTGCGAGTGAAAACGTATTGAAAATTCTAAGTGTTAAAAGCGTTTACCACAGTCTTACGGTATGAAAAAAAGGTGCTTCTTGAAGAGCCTGCTCGAAACCGATTAAATCTGACAGTTTCACAAATAAGGATGAAAACGTTTAATATTTGCCTTCCTTATCACCACAGCATCTTCTCAGCTCCTTGATAACTTTTGAAAAAATATGAATGCTAGGAATATCTAAGAGAACTGAAGTATTATTAAGGTATCATTCTTGGAAAATACTTTCTGTGGTTTTAAAATATAGAATATTTAAAGGCCATAATTAAAACTAGAAAATTACAGAAAATTTAATGACAGTACGCAAATCAAAGAAAATTGCCTGGAAATCTGTGTTGAGAAATCCCTTTTTATGCTTGTTTGGATCTCTCATGGCACCTCCAGTTGTGGCCAAGGCACCGCTGCCCATTACCAAGCCTTAACTCCCAAACACCTTTCACAGGAGGAGGAATGTGGCCTGTAACCACGGTACAACGCCTGGAAATCGCCTCCAGTCTATTTCTGAATAAGTAAAGAAATGTAAAACTGAGCGCAGCTTTGCTGTGAAAAACAAATTAACGGACACAGGCAAATCAGGCAACGTGTTGCAACTGTTTCTCTGCAAAGAAAAAAAAAAAAAAAAACCAACCAAAAAATAAAAATATGACTGGCCATTTGTTTTCTCGGAATAAAACTATTGGGTATAGATTTGCCCACTGCACCTAGGTGTGTATTTGGAGGTTTCCTGCAATGCTCAGAGGTGACCAGGCAGCAAAATGAAATAAAAGCTGGGTGAGCACCGTGCCCTGGCCCCGCAGAGCAGGCGGGGAGGGGGCTCAGCCAGCGCCCCCCACCCCGCACCGCGCTACCAACCCCACCAGGTTCTGCCACCAAAGGAAAGTTGGCGAGCTCGAGTCTGAGCGTTCAGCGTGGAACTGTTGACCAAAACACTCCTGTCGATAAACGGAGGGGTACGCAACGCCACGGGCTGTGGTTTATGCTCAGCACGGACAGCAAAACCGTCGCCCCGGAGATCATTTATATAGAAAAAAAAAATGGTGCATTTCTTTTTTATGAGCTCCATCTAACGGTGGATTTTGGTTTTACACAGCCACTTAGAAATTTTCCGCTGTGGATCTCTCATGCTAAACTTAAAAGAAAAAACCAGCACGTTTCCAATGTTACAAATAAAGGAGAGCATATTTAGTTGAAAGAAATGTAGCTTTTCACGCAGAAAGGTGAAAGCGGCTGTTCCTATGAAATGGCGGAAGCACTTTTTAAGAGGCAACATCTTTCAAATAAGGCAGCATTTTTCTAGCATCGCAGTATTTTTCAACGTTTGCAGTCAGGAAAACGTGCCAGTACTAATTCGGCATCTTTACACTGAGACTGGCAGAGCCGTGCAAGCGCAGAGCATGGGGCAGCCAGTGCTAAAACTGGGCTCAGTGGGGAAATTCATTTCCGTGGCTTGTGTCCAAAAACATTCAGAGGAAAGCGACTGGCAGTATAATTATTTTTTTATTTTATTTATTTTTTTTTTAAATCAGGAAGGAGTCTTCTCTACCTTTCTGGTAGAGAAAGAGCATTTTGTGAGGAGCTTTGCCTTGGGCCACGTGCATGGGCACGGCACGGGGCCGGGGAAAGGCCAGAACTGGGCTGGGAGCTGAAACACAGCCTTGCCTTCTGCCCTATTTCTGCTTAGCTAGAAATTTCTGGGCTGTTGAAGCATGTAAAAAAATAACGTTACAAATATTTTTTAAAGAAATACTGATTCAAAATTCATCCTTTAAGGTATTGCTGAGAGAAACTTGAAATATTCCAATTTAAGAGTCTGAAAACCCAGTATTTTAAGGAGCGAAAGGGCATGCCGCATCAGCGGGCGTCAGACCCAGCGTGACCCTCCACCACCTCTCCTCAAACAACCCAGAAGCCACCCCGGACCCAAGCAGGGACCTGCCTGGATTCGCTCAGGGCACCCAAGAACAAGATGTTCCCTCCCTGCACGGCCCAGGACACCGTGCCCGTTGGGTTGGGTGATGCTTAATTTCCTACGGAGGCGGATGAGGAACCTGCGACATCGACCCCACGTCCTCAGCCACCGGTCAGCACTGTGCTCCTTGGCTTCTATTTAAAACTGTCTAAAACCGATTCAAAAATCAGTTATCACCTGAGACGGAGGAGGATATAAGATCTTAAATCTCAGGTGTTAATCGCAGGCATGAACATCCTCAAAGTGATGTAAAAATTACCAAAATATGCATGCGTTTTTTGTAAGAAGAGAAAGATTCTTTATGAAAGAGAAAATTGGTTTCAATTCAAATGTTAAGCTCAAGAATGTATCAGAAGTCACCAGGTCAACTGCAGCTCAGTGGTAAGTATCATCACTGTTCTTCTACTTGGCAGATCAGTATTATCCAACGGCAAGGTTGTATGTTTTTTTCTTAACATATAAGAAAGACCCTATCTTGAAGCAGATGCCAATACCTCTGCGTGGATGTCACCCCGCAAAACTGCACAGTCACATTTCAAAGCAAAAGCTTAAAATGAATGCTTTAATTTTCATCTGCTGTTTCCTCTCTCGTTTAAAAAAAAGAGCTATTCGGCCGTAAGAGATATTTACACGTATTTTGCATCCATTTTGCAACCTCTCCATAAGCCACCAAATTTCTTCAAACTGCAGCCCCCCCCCCCCCCTCAAAACCCAGCAGGAGCCACCTCCCGTCCCACGGCAGCGTCGAACTAAACAGGTGACTGGGCTCGGGAAAAGGATTAAACACAACTGGAATGCAGAGGCACTGATCTTTAAGATCCAGCAGAAACCTGGCACGGTACCTCGGCATCGTACTCCCAGAGCTGGTTGCCCCTCATGTGGTGGCACTTCAGCATGGTGACGGGGCCGTTGAGCCTCGAGACGTCCAGGCACAGGTCGTCCGTGCGGATCTCTTTGTCAGCAGTGTAGGAAAACACCTGGAAGCAGAGGATGATTGCAGAGACAAAGAGTCAGCCCACGTCCTAACCAACTTGCCATACATAAAATACAGCATTTTCACTCCAGTGGAGCCCAACCGCTTTCTTCTCCAAGCACTGAGGTGGTGCCTTGGATCTCACGGGAGTTTCGTGGAAGCTCCTCCACTAGTGAATGTCTGCTGTACGTAAGAGAAGGAATATCATGTTCAGGAGAAGCAATTTTATGGGACCAAGCCCAGGAATCACCCAGGTATACGCTTCGTTTTACCTCCTGGGAATTCTACAGAAACATTTTGCCATCAGCGTCTTCAAGAGAAATCTCACAGATCTTGCAATACGACGGATAAACCGAGTCCGTCATCAGAAGAATCCAAACTTCTCTAAACTAAGTCTTCCTCCTAGTATCTACCTCAACTTTGGGTACCAAGGATTATCTGTGTTAAAGATTCACGTGCATGGCTATTTCAGAAATACCGCGTCGCTTAACAAAATTAGGAAATAAATGAAGACACGAGAGAACGCGCCCTCGACGAACTTCTGCCGAAGCAGCTAATGAGCTTCCGAGGGATTGTTTAACGGAGCGCCTTCAGCCAGGAGCCCGCTGGGCAAAGCCCAGGCTGTGACCAGCTCTTCTCCCTTGACCACGAGCCTGATGAGGACTCGTTCACTTGCGGTAACTAAATATAAATACAGCAGGCGGCCCCGCTGCCTCGCAGAGCGGCCACGCAGCACGGGCTGAGCCCTCGCGGCATCACCGCTCACGAGGAACCACGCTCGATCAGATCTCGGCCCTTTGCGGGTGGGTTCGGGAGCTGGGGAAACGTTAAATAACTGTGACTGGAGTTCTTTGATAACTTGAATCCGCCGTGGGGGGCTCCGGCCATCCCCCCGTGCATGCTCCCCACCAGCCACACAAGGAGCAAGGTCCACTGCCCGGAGCGGGGTGACAACGTGGAGACCGCTGGAGAAGGGGGAGCAAAGGAGGGCAGCTGGTAGAGAACCGCGAGCATTTACACCAAATTACACGGCCTGGACACAAGGGAAGTTGTTGGAGAATGGCTCAGAGACAAGGGTCCTGAGCCCACCGAGCAGTTGTATGATCAGAGCCTGCTCTAGCTGCTGATGCTGAGCCTCACTAGGGTTTGCCTGCAGCTGCTGATACAGGAGGAATGTCAAGGACGCTTCAGCCCTGTGTACTGTGGTGTGTCGAAAACAGGTTAAGGGGAATTAGGAATAGTGGTCTGAGAAACCCAGTGTTATGGTAACGGTGGTCTGAGAAACATTGTGTTACGGTACTGTCGTGTATCGAAAACAAGTCAACAGGAATCAGAAATAGTAGCATGAGAAACTTAGTGTTGTGAGCAGCTTGTGCTGTAAGCTAACTGCAAGTAGGTGGGCTGTGCGAATACGACCTTTAGAGCTTAAGCCAATCAGCTAGTGACTACTAGGCATAATAATTATCATTGTCTGTATAAATATATGTACCCTGGACCAATAAAGACACACGTTGACTGATGCTCTATCACCCACACTGAACCCGTCTCGGCGTGTCGTTCGTCCGCGGCTCCGCAGGAAGTATCTCTCTGCTCCTAACCCACTGCTCCCAACCTCCGTAAAGTCGCTGGCCCCAGTACAAAAGCTCCAGAAATGGCCTTAGGAAACAGCCCTGGGTCCGGATCGCCTCACGCTTTCCTTGCAGAAAACCCTTATCTGAGCAAAAAGTGATTTTTTTTTTTTTTTTTTTTTTTTTTTTTTTTTTCCCGTGCTGTGGTCCCCTCCCCGCAGCAGCAGGAGAGCAGAGCCGCAGCCCGTCCACCGGCAGCCACCACCCCGCCAGACCACGCCGGCTCTGCCGCGGGAGCTCAGGCAGCTGCGCTACCACCGCGGTGGGAACAGGAATAGGAGAAAGCCTGAGCTTAATGAAGCAACGTCAAGGCCGCGACAAATGATAGAACTACCATGTCTCATCCAGGTTTTGATGAGTATAAATCTGTATCTACACCTGCAACAGGGAAACGGTGCCGCCAAAAATATGCGAGATATTCACTTACGTGGCAACGCTTAAATTAACATAGAAATATAATAAAAGCATAGACAAGTACAGCACGTGGACATACACCTCAATTACCCGGCGATCTCAGGGTTCCTTTACAACCTCTTCCTCTTGTAGAAGGACGACAGTATCGTTAAAAGAGCCGAGACTGAGATCTGAACCACAAAAAACGCAGTGCCCCAGGGGATGTCTATCCGCCGAGACTTCCAGGGAAGCATTAAATTGAACTCAAGGAAGAAGAACCAACCAGGCAGCAAAGGAAAAATTTTTTCAGTGAATTAAGCAGAGGGCGGGAGATACCACGTCACCGGGAAACGCGACGCTTGGCAGCGGTGCACGACTAAGGGAAAGTGTCCCCATGTAAATCTTAAAACTTCCATCCTGCTGAAAGCAGCCGAGGGAATGAAGGCAAGGGGTTTTGTAGCTGGAGGTTTGGGGAAATCTTTCAATGACGGAATCCATTTGCCAGATTTCTTATTCACCGCTCGCCAGCCACTTCTCCGGGTGAAAATCTGGCACCCAAAGGTACGGCAAAGCACCAGCCACCTTCTTCTTTTGTTCGTCCAGTGATAAATCACCCAGATCAGATCTGAGCGCCTCAAAGTGTTGCTTTCACTTACAAACACAAGAGCCACAGGCCGATTCCTGGGCTCCTCTCCTGGGGCAAGAGAGACTTTTAAATATCGACCTGCTGCTGAGATCCCACTCCGAAGCGTGCTGTCCTTTTGGAAGGAGGTGGAATGAGTCCACGTCACATCCAAAATTCCACTTTGTGTTCGTAAGGATATTTTTTGTTTCCCTTCCCCACTTTTCCGTGTGCAAAAGCAAGTCCCAAAGCCTTTAAAAACCTCATATAGCCTCAGCCAAGGTGCTGGAAACTCCGTGTGAGTACTAGTTCACTCAGTTACCTTCCGGAATTATTTAGAAAAGGGAGTTTATAGCTGAGGGCTGACCGAGGAGGGGACACAGGTGTCATTTTGAAAAGCAGCTCCAACTGTGCCCACCTCTGGCAAATCTCAGCAAGAGCTGAAGCATTCAAGGGTATTCGAGTACGTTAAATGCACAGCAGTGGAAGCAAAGTTTTCAAATTTTGATATTCTTACAAGCCAGCACATATGCCCTTCCCAAGTTTCAGTTTGTGTTGTGAATCTGTGTGTTTTTTCCAACTGTTTTTTGTTTTTTGTTTTTTGTTTTTTTTTTTTAATAGAAAGATGTCTGCCTACACTTTATCTCTGGTAAGTAAAAACCAAACTCTCATGAAAAACATTTACATTTGCTCAGACTGGTCACTGGCTTGTATACAGATGTCTACCCTCTTGATCGGATGAGCTGATATTAGCACATCAGGCTAAGTTCATGGAAGTGCATAAGGTTACAAAAAAAAAAAAAAAAAATTGGGATCCGTTGTGAGGTTTCTTCAAAAGAGGTACAAGAGCAATCTGTGTTCTGGTCTAAACTGATATCTAAAGGTTTTAGAAACAAATTATTCAACCGTTTCTGACCTTCTCATGTATACCAACATCTGAAAACTCTTTTCAAAATAAAACAATGCAACAACAAAAGCAGCCTTCTTCAATCGTTCAGCCAGACCTCCAAAAATCCCCTTCCAGTACATTGTTTTGAAATTATTTTGGGAATAATAAGCACAGGAGTCAAAAAAGAAGAAAATTCGGGTCAAAAAGATTATTGGTACTATAACATTAAGCTGTGATATCTATAAATATGTACATAAATATATACTTATTTGCTGAAGGAGAGAAAGACATCATGTAGTTGAGGTATTGCAGACCTGGGCTAAAACAATCATTATTCAAAACCAGATACCATAATAATGTTCAGCTTGCAAGCTACCAAAATTCATGTCCAACAACAAAACCTTGGGGGGGGGAGGGTTGGTTCCTCCTTTAAACACCTTCAACCAAAAATGTTTCTTACTGGTGGAATACTGGACTTACTGCTTGCTGTCATGCTGCATCTGGAACAAGAAACACGGCCAAATAATCTAATATTCTCAAAATCACTGACACCATTTGCAGCATAAAGTCTCTCTCACCCAAACAGCAGTTTGGGTTCAAGAACCACTCACACGAATATACTGCACAGAGAGTTCACCTTTTACTGTGTTCATTATTAAGAGATTTATCCGCTACCACTGTGCTCATTATTAAGAGATTTATCCATTACCACTTGTTCTGAAGCAACTTTAATTTTCAACTTATTTGTGTTGTTTTTTTACATTGAACACGTTCGCATCAGGCATTTTCTTCTAGCCTGAGAGACACGCGTTTAGCCGCAGACAGATGTTGTCTTCTGTGTTTTATAGAAAGCAAATACTTATATTTGAAAGGTATTTCCATTTGCATGTTTCTTTTCTCCTCTCATCTTTGATAATTGCAATACACGGGTCCATTATAGCTTTTGAAAGAAAAAGCGATGTCTGGATTGACAACTACAGAAGTCGGGTCTGAAAAACATGCCGCCTCAAGAAAGAAAAATGAATGCTAATTAAGACGACGCAGAATTATCAGGCTGGCATTTTGCTACCACCCATATTAATTACAGCTATAATTATATTAATGTCACAGAAAAAGAGAGGGTGAGAGCGCGTTGCATTTCGCAGCGAATCATCGAGCAGATCTCCGGGCAGGCGCTGCAGCGCCGGAGGGGCGTCCCGAGCAGGGGTGCAGGAGAAGCCACCCCAGAAACGCTCTTGGCCCCGCCGCCCCCCCCCCCCCAAGCCTGGCGCAGCGGGAAGAAGACGCTCCCCCCCTTCCCACCCCCCCCGTGCCCCACCCGAGGAAGCTGGGCTGTTCCTCCCAAGGGCCCCATCTCACCACCCCCCCGAGACCCTCCAGCGGTGTCGGGGAGCTGCCCTGCGAAGGGGAAACCCACGGGAACAGGGTGTGTGGGGGGGGGAAAGTCCCTCGAACTCCCCAGGGCTGGTGCC